TACAGTAATGAAGAGAAATCGGTGATCCGCTCCGTACTGTCAATCTATTCTGGTCCATACTGTCAACCTAAGTTGAAGCATGCACTACAAAATAGTACCACAAGCTTTTCGAAAGACTTTGTGGCAAAGGAGTTATTAACGATCAAACGTTCGATACATTTTTCTGGAACACCCTGTATAAAAGCGCTATCAGTAGTGCAGAATCACCTATGTTATTTATGCAAAATATACAGGGTGTCCCAAAGTAACATCGCATAACTTTTTAATGAAGCATTATAATAAGTTGCGAACATCATATACAGAATCAGCGACTCTAATCTAGCTCAGTGTGAGTGTTTTCAAGTTGTTTTGTTTTTCCTTTTTGAGGCAAAATGTGGTCTTTCATGTCTCAAAACCTACTCAGTGTTCTTACAGTAATCCTACAGTAATGGAAGCAGTCAGTATTCCGCTCCGTACTGAAACTTGAAGCCTACTCCACAAAACGATGCCTAAGTCTGCTCGAAAAACTTTATTACAAGAGAGTTATTAATAAAGCAAATTTTAGAACACCCTGTACATTATTTCTTGCTGGCTTATCTGGAGCGTAAATGTTAGATATGTATAAAGCAAACTGTGGATTTTCCTCCAATTTTTATTATTTTGATGAAGCCTTATTTTCACCTTCTTTTAAAGAAATCGATGGTCTTTCCATCGGCTTTCTTATTCTTGGTATTATTTTCTTCAAGCAGCCATAATTTTACGAATTTATTCTTAGTCATTTTTTAGTCGACTTGATTTGTGCTTGTTATATATGAAAATTACTGTACCCACAGGTAGAGTAACATTCTTTTCATCGTTCGCTATTTTCGCTTCTCTACTTAGAACTGAAATAAGTCTGGAAAACAGACCAGGGAAAGACAGCGTTTGATCGAACTTCGGGTTGAGATTTCTGCGATGCACTTTGGTTCGTTCACTCTTGGATGGTTCCTCCATCAAGAAGACTCGCACGTACGGATCGGAGCTGCCTACAAAAGTGACAATAAATGACAAGTGTCCACTTATTTACTTATTTATCTCCATTTCATCTCTTTTCATTTCATTTGCTAGCTTCAGAATGACGAGGATAAGGCAAAAAAAGTTACCGGTGATGTCCTTGACAGGCAGGTCGACGGCTTCAAGAAGATGGACATGGAGTGTGCTTATTTCCTTCTCGAATGCAATGGAGAAGTTCAGTTTTCCACGAAATTCAGACACGCTTTCGGGTTTGAGGGAGTCAATGACGTGCTGAGACTGAAACATAAACAAGAAGTGGAGAAGATTTCCACACAGTACAGTTTACTAATTTTTACTCTCTAGTTTTGTCATTTGTCCCTGCTGATAAGGTAGGATGGGGTTCGATAATCACCAATATGGTGTTAGGTTGCTCCGAAAGTTCTGTCACTTTGA